TGAGCAGTCAATCTCTGACGCTCCCCCAGACTCACCACGGGCCTTTTGGTCGCCTCTCCTCATCAGTGAGGAAGACTTCCCTGTCTTGGGAGGTTTGGTCTGTTATACTTGTGCACAGATCTATACTAATTAGATTACCTTTGCAGTAAGTTTATCTAGATTGTATTTAGGAGCGTTAGAGTAAATGGGGCTGATTAGACCTCTAAAGGCCACTTTTAACAAAAGTTTTTATCCCTACATGATAAAATTAGAAAAGAATATCAACCAGAAGGTTAGCCTGGGAGCAAAGGGGCAGGAAACAATCTAAACAGTTTATTTTGTATTATTTGTGCAATTATGAAAGATTTCTAATCCACAGATTACCAGCGTTGGTTTTCCTCAGCTCGTCTTGTTGTCTCTCAGCATCAGTTAGGCGATTCTCTGCAGCAAATAAGCAGTCGAGTAGTTTGAGGACAGCAAGGATGAAAAGGATGAAATAATCTGATAATACGAGCAATCGTGAAGTTGTCTGACCAGCAGAGGCACTCCGTCCTTCCAGGCTCAGCTGGCTGGAGCTGAATTTATTCTTCAACTCATGAACCTGGTCTGAAAGGGAAAAAAAAATGGCATCAAATCATTTTAATAGTCAATGCAGCTGAGTTTTCAATATTCCAGCAATGAGGTTGGACTGCTTTGGAAAGTAACCTTTTTATTTTAAATCTTTGGATGTAACGCCTCCTCTAAGAAGTTGGTTTTTCATGCAGCAATTCCACCAAAGCTACGGCCAGAGGCAGCCAGAGATTGCCTTTTAAATCTTACTGATCCTTTGTCGCCGTTACACCTCCTGACAAGCTGAGTTTGGTCTTGGTTTGAGATGAAAAACTAAAAGGCACTGAAACCACTTCAGGATCAACAGTGAACCAATATCTATATTTCTCTAATAAATAATGAGCATCACAGAGCAGATTTCCATGAGGCCCTCACTAATAAATGCAGATTTATATACCAGTGCTGTTGATGTTTTTGATATATCTTTATATTTAATTACAGAGAAGAGTCATAAATGAGTGCTGAGAAAAACTAACCCATAAATTGTAACAAGTGCTTCATATAATTACTTAAAAAAAAGTGTTCCACATGATAGGATAATTTAAAAAAGGGCCATGGCCCTGCTGCCCCCCTCCTTTTACATCCGGCCCTGTGGCATTATATTTCATCTGAGATAAAAACACACTAACATTGTGTTTCATCCAACCTGGCCGTTCACACACAGGTCGCATTTGAAAAGATCAGATTCGTATCGGATTCAGGACCACATGGCCAAGTGGCCTGGGTCGGATTGGAAAAAATCAGATCTGTGTTGTTCAGACAGCCATGAAAAGATCAGATCCAGGTCACATATGGGCAAAAAGGTCGGATTTGGGACACGTCAGTCTGCAGTGTGAACGTAGCCATAGAAAATGAAAAGAATCCAGCAAAAATGAACTGCACAGAGGGAGTATACATGGGAGAACCAAACAATGAATGGCCTAATTACTGTAGCTGATTGGGAGCAGGTGTGGACAGGAGCAACTAAAACTGATTAAGGGGAAAGAAAGGGACACCAGGGGGCAGCAGAGAGTCACCAGACAGAACAGGATGTTACTGTAACCAGGAAAGAACTTAAATGAAGTTATCCCTTTGGAGGGCAAGTTAGCATTTTTGATCAGTCGACCCCAAAATTCACCAAATAGAAGAGGAACATCGTAGTTTGGTTTAAAGAAAGCATTTTAGTTTTATTATAATTTAGTTTGTTGTAGAAATAGTTAATGACACCATATGCCAACCGTCACAATGATGTGCATGAAAAGGAAGGGCTATATATACTGCATGCATCATTTAGGGAGTTAGCGTTGATTTCTTCTTGAGCTTCTTCAGTTATTTACTGTCACAGGTAGGAGCTTCGCCTGGAGAATAAGTGTTGGTGCCGGTATGATCTAAGGAGGGCCGGCCCTCCAACGCTGAAATGAGGACCGACCCACCGGGCAAATGCCCGATATCACAGATTATTTTTCATGCAGCATCTATATCCAGCCATTCAGCAATAACAAGTCAAGAAAAAAGGTAAAAAGCTAATTGAAAAGTGAAAAAGTTATGGTAAAGGAATAAGCCTAGTTAACTATTATATTTACAAACTAAAAAATGTAAGTTCCAGTATCAGCATTAATGCCTCTAAGGTTATGTTGGACCAAAAAATGTGTTTCTTTTACTTTCAGACTGTTTTTCATGACATTCTTATAGAAGCACTTTTGTTTTGGGTTTTGGAGCAGTTCTCCAGTGGTGAGGTCGTGCTATATGTTCCCCCCCCGCCATTTAAAAAGGTTGATTGGTAACAGTGTGACGGCTGCAGAAGTTACCTTCAATGTTTGTCCTCAGCGTGTCCAGATGGATCTCCAGGCGTTGTTCCAGCATCACTGCATCAGAGGCAGATGAACTATTGGAGGCTTGGATGTCTGGGTTAGAGGTATGATGACATATTATCATTTATTTCTGTGTGTTTCATTTAATTCGTCATTTTGAGGCTGTTTTTAATTGTTCTATGCTCCAACAACATAAATGCATATAGTGACCTGTCACACCAATAGCATAGCTGATCACTGAAACAGATTTAGCGCCATGATTTGCGGTGGTGAAAGACTGAAGCGTTAACAGGACATTGGGAGGTGAAGGATCATTTAATAAAGCAGGATGACAGTAAAACAACAACGCTGAGTGTTTTAGTTTATCAAAAAGTATCCAGTTAATACTACTGGATGATCTTAGTAGCTTAAATTAATGTACAGAGGATGTCTATAAAAAAACACCAGTTAGCACAGCTTCACATACCTTAGCTTTCTGTATATATTCTTTTAAGTGCCATCCGTTTGAATGCTTTCTTTAAATTAACAATGACTAATAATTAGGTTCCCCTTTTCATCATTCTGCTTTATTCTATCTCTAAAGTAGAATGGGAGGCAGATCTTTTAGTTATCAGGCTCCTCTCCTGTGGAACCAACTACCAGTTTTAGTCCGTGAGGCAGACACCCTGTCTACTTTTAAGGCTAAAAACTTTCCTTTCTGATAAAGCTTATAGTTAGAGTGGCTCAGGTTATCCTGATCTATCTCTATAGTTATGCTGCTATAGGTTTAGACTGCTGGAGGACATAGGGACCCCTTTTTCATCATTCTGCTTCATTCTACCTCTATTCTCCCACTCTGCAGAATCTGTTATTTCAATCTCTAACGTTCTACTCTCTCTGCTTTTTCTCATAGTAGCTTCATCTGGTCTGTTCCTGTTTGGCTGTGACTCCATCCTGTAGAGAAATATCAGCTGTGCTGCTGCCATCAACACCTTTGTTTCTAGATGTTGGAGCTTGGGGTGTTTTTCCAGTGTAGTCCTGTTTCTCTTGTAGAGCTTTTGCTGGGACTAACTGGGTGTTCTCTCTTTCAGATATTAGAGTATTTGGACAAAATTTGACAACAGTGGTAGCTCCAGGAAATGTTTCCCCAGGGTGTCCAGGCAGATAGCAGCGTGTGCTGGGTTGGGTGGGTACACTCCAACACTCAGGAGATGGCCGCTCACATGGAGCCTGGTTCTGGTTCTGCTGGAGGTTTCTTCCTGTTTAAAGAGAGTTTTCCTTTCCGCTGTCACTGCATGCATGCTTGGTGTGAGGGATTGCTGAATATCTACTGTCTCTACCTGCTCATGCAGGAGGAGCGAGTCCTGACTGTATCAACCATTGGATGCAATCAGTCGGTTTCCTAGGAAGAAAATTAAAATCTCATTTTAGGATCTGATTGAAATGATTGTGGAAAGTGACCCGAGATGCTGTGATTTAGTCACGTTCATGTGACAGACCAACTCAAAGAGGTGAAGTGTGGTGAAAGGAAATTTGTTTTCTCCTTTTCTCTAAATAATCCAGGGGATCTGACATGGTTTGAGTGGAAGAGACTCCAGTGATGAGTTATGTGATCTAAGAGGTTCTATGGAGAACATCCAGCACCACGAAGGCCGAAGAACGCAGGAGGAAGTTCTGGTTCAAGAACAATTTCCAAATCCATCATGTGAACACCTGAGGGTGGACCACCTTCTGAACTACCAGGACATGGAGGTCCACCTAGACAGACAGGAGGAGGAGAGGACCATGGAGGCTCTGGAGGAGCTGCAGAGAACTACAACCCATCTGGGATCATTTATTTGATAGTCAAGTGTTAGCAGACTCAAAACTTCGGCTCTGGATGGGAGAGAAGCAGGAACAATGGCATCAAAACTCCCGATTTTTAAACACTAAATAGCAAACTAAGCAGACTCTTACCATACCGATACATGGCAGTGGCAGCATCATGCTGTGGAGTTGCCTTTTTTGATTAGAGACCAGGGAGCTGGTCAGATAGATGGAGCTAAATAAATCCTTTTAGATCTAATTCTCCTTCAGAATAATCTGCAGCATCACTGGTTCAGGGAGGTTCTCCTGCTGGGAGGTGAACCTCAGCTCTTCTGGATGGAGGTAAAGCCAGATCCTCACTCTCTGATCCAGGGATCTTTGCTCTAGCAGTCCTCATGTTATTAAAAGACATTTAACTGTGTCCCTCATGGTGCCCTGTAGGGGGCGGAGTCAGGGGTCCTTTGGGAAACTTTCCAAACAGGCCACAATCCTCAGTCCATTAGTAAGAAAACCTGGGATCATTCTCCTGCCACTCTGCATTAACTCAGAGAGTTTATGGCTGCATGTGGAAAGGGTGTGAATATTTTTACAATGTGCTCCTACAGCTTTTAGCTTCAGATTAAAGGTTATATAAAAGTTTTCAGAATTTCAATTAATTGAGGGCTTCTGCAGTAAAGACAAACTGCAGGGAAATATTCTAGGAAAAGCAGAAATCGAAAAGCATTCTGGACTCTAGATTAGATTCACTGGGATGTTAAAAATCCCAGTGAATCTAAACAGGTGATGGAAGCGATAGCAGAGAGTGAGACAGAGGAGGAAATGATCACCATCCTGTAGACCTGACCTGAGATCTGCCCCTTTAGGTCCTCCATCAGAGTCTCAGTGCTGCACATCCTGCTGGCCAGAACTGGAAACAAGAATAATGGATGTTACTGAAACACATTAAAGTTCATTGTGCTGCAGAACAGCTGAGAATCATCTAACTGTGGTGGCATTAAGGTGCGTCTGCAGCTCTCTGGGTTCTGTGCTTCACTCATCCTCTGAGCAGAACCTCTTTCTGTTGTTCTGTCTGATAAACGCTGCAGGAGGCGGCATCCAGAGAAACATGACATCTTCTGGTTCACAAGATCTTTGCAGAATAAACCAGCATAAATGGTTTAAAGCTGCAATCAGGGGGGATTTATTATCATCTAAAAGCAGCGAACTCTGCTCTCCAGAGTAAGTAGATTGGTAACCTCGCCTCCTGCTCTCCTCTATCTTATCTGCTGTCATGATTCATGCAGCTATTATTTCATCCAAATGAAAAATGGAGAACAGAGAAGCAGCTCATGGCTTGTCTACAGTGAAAAGAAGGACTGGGTTATTTACTTTTGGAGCAATCAGCTAAGTGAGCTTAGAGCTTGGAAAAAATCTTTCATTCCTTTAGAGACAGCATGAAAAGTCAGCTGAGTACAAAACATAGAGAGGAAAACAACAAGAAGAGAGGGACATAACCTAGAACAGATAATGGATGTCTATTCTATTAACATTTCTCTATCTGTAGAATGGGTCTATTTTATGTGTTGTCTTCTCAATTCAGAGGGCCCCCTGCCTGTCTTTGCCTAGGGCCCCATATTTCCTAAATCCGCCCCTGGCTGCACTGTCTCTGTTTTTAGAATATATTTCTGACAGATTTACTTTCAGTCAGATGCAATTTTACTTTATACATCTATCGCATAAACACATCAGAGTTTTGATTGAAATGTGGGAAGATGGTGAAAAGGCCATGGAGTTAGAAGAACCCAGTGGAACTATAATAAATGTTAATGAGATGAGGATGATGACCTGCATCCTTCCTCCTGAGCTGCTCCATGACTCTCTCACTCGCCCTCAGTCTGGTCTGCAGGAACGGCAGCTCAGCCGCTACAGCTGTAGAGAGATAATATTTGAGCTTTATTGATCTCACACTGGAGAACTTCACTCTGCATTTAACACAGAGCATTGGGCTGCCAAGTGCAACACTCTAACCACTATGGCAACTCTCCCCCAAAGCTGTTCCTGCCGGATTTTCGAACAGACAACCGTTCACATGTTGTAGACTACGTGCACTTTGGGATTTGTTTAAATATGAAGTGCATTACAAGTCCAACGTATTATTATAATTATTATTATTATTACTATGTAAACTGGCAGAGCTCTCACAGACACCCGGCGCTAAATGAGGAACAACATCAGGAGCTTTTTGACCTCTGAGGGAAAAAGAGCCCCTCTGGTCTCTGCCTCTGTGGTTCAGGTTTTTATGTCTGGACTCACCTAAACTCTTCATCTTCAGGTTCTCCATGGAGCTCTCACTGCTGTTGATTCTAAGCCGAAGCTCCAGTATTTCATCTGCTTGTGCTAAAACAAAAACAAATATGCTAGAAATATCAGAGGCAAATATTGTTCAACAGGTTTGAAACACTTTCTGCAGTTTTCCCGAAGATTATTGGATCATTAATTTTCTATTCCAATGGTCAGCATCCAGAAATGACAGCACTGGATTAAATGTGAAGGGTTTTTTTCAGGAGGCCAGGAAGCACAGCCGCTTTGCTGAGCCTTTCCATTCATTTCTACAGCCTAACCTTAACTCTAACCTCTAACTCTAAAACTAAATCGGTCGTCCTAAACATGACTCCCAATCCAAAGACAGACACTGGACCCCACAGCAGCAGTCAGTCCCCACAACATGCTAATTTACAGAGAACACACCCACACAGAATTGTCCCTGATCCATCCTCAGGATTGTTACCTTTAGGAACCATGTTTATCTAGCCTGACGTAGTCCGACTCAATTCGCGGGACTAAGTTCGGAATGGCACCCAGGCTAATGTTTATCACCTTGAGGTATTTAAATGTCAGGCCAAGGTCTTTATGATTAAGAGAAAGCAAACAAACTTTATTTACAACCCAGATCAATAAAAAAAACCAACATGAGTTACCATAGCGATTCAGACGACACCCAGCTCATCTCCACATCAACAGCT